TGCCTGTTTCTTGTGAGCGTTCGTCTGCAAGCTGGCATCTTCATCGAACAGTTGAAAGGAACCTTGTCTCAAAACTGCTCGGAGTAGGGTGGCATCCATGTTCTTGGTCAAAGGATCGGCCAATTGCAATGCTGTCGGGATCCATCTAAAATGACAGTGTTCCAAACACCTTTCTTTTATAAGGAGGACCTCCAACGTAGTGCGATATTCTTCGCAAGAAGGCATTGCACGTCGACTGACCAAATCGTACAGGGATTTACAATCAGTCACCACCACTGCCGCATGCATATGACGGAAAGCTTCCGGAGGATTCCTCCATTGGAATTCGGGCATCACCAGTGTGCCCCACAAGAGTCGGCACCAGCTCATTTTATCAACACTCCTTGACATGCTGAAAGCTTCTGCAGACAAGGTGGATCGGACCACTCTAGAGATCTTTTTTGATGACCATGAAATGGGACTGATAGGTGCTGTTTGGTTTTGTTGTAATTGAGGGGATGTTGCAAACACAAGTGTACCTTGGAAGGATGATAATTGTTTTGGACTGGCAAACGAAGCATCCCCAAATACCACGTGGGTCAGTTGATTCGGATCAATTGATCTGAAGAAAATACTGACATCACAAGTTTGTTGAGCTTCCCGAAGTACTTTGTTTGCTTCCAACAGTGTCTGGATGGTAGGCTTTGACAGCTGTACCTGGATTTCACCAAGCTTGGCAGCCACGTCCGGTCGAGTGTTCGTCGTGGCATACTGGAGGCTACCAATTAAACCGCGTAAGTGGGACATCTCAGTCTCTGACACTGGTTCTTGAGGATTTGATCTTCTGTGCTTACCAACTTCAACAGGCATGATTGAGTTCACATAATCTTCTTGACATGCTCGGATACTGAAATCAGGCAATTGCTCAAGTTGGATTCCCGTGAAAACAAATTTATTCTGTTTATAAGACCCAAAAGGCAAGCTTGTACGCAGTTGTTCAATTTGGTGATGAAACCATTCATCTCCGCCACATATTCCATCATCGACATGGGTGCCCAGAACTCCATGGAGAGTACGTTGTCCATTTTTCCAAGACTCAAGATAATACACACATGGTTCCAGTGGATGAACCTTGAAACCTAGCTTTTGTAATTGACTTGAAAGTTCTTTGTAGAATAGTAATGGCGCGTCAACTCTACCGTAGGCATTTCCAATCAAGGCACACACCTGATCATCATCGAGTTGCATTCGTTGGCGAAGTTCTTTTGGGGGTTCCATGGCCAAAGGGTTATTTTGATCTGCTTTTCCACGAAGAAATGCTGTCTTGATATCAAAAGATGTAAGAACCCAGTGCATGGATGAAATAAGTTGTAAAACTGTGTGCCTACCTTCTCGCGTGAGTGTTGGAGCATCTCTACTTACTTCGGTTAACCGTGGATCTTGGTACCCCAATACAACCAATCTAGCCTTAGCTTTTCTTCCTGACCCGTTTGTTGTTTCATTTTCAGAAATATTTTTCCAAGTGAGAACCCATCTTGACTTCAGGATTTGCTCAGGATTCAGGTGTTTTCTTAACACAGGCTTAAGTGCACTGGTCTGGAGCCAGCAAGAAAGTTCAGCATCCTTGGCGGCTTCAAACAGCTTTCAGTCAGCCTGAGTCAGATCCTTGACCTGAACTTCAGCACGTGCCCTCTTCCCAGCAGAGGCAATCTGGGCAAGTTCCTCCGGATGTTCAGCATGGGACCATTTCAACACATCTTGACGTGACATGGGAATTTCCAGCATGAAACACTGATGTTCCAGAGGTTCTGGAGGATTCTCAATGTATGGCATTCCATCATCCGCAAGACAAATCTGATTGCTTTGGGTTCCAGCATGAAAAACATTCCATTCATGTAAGGTTGTATCAGTTTCAAGATGACAAACATCATGGCATGTGAGAACATCCGCATGGGATTCAAGTCCATCTTCCTGGCTTTCAGAGGCATCAAGGTCAATGGCATTATCGTTATGGTTATCATTGATTTCCGATTGATGGGGGTTACTTTCATTGGGATTATCTTGAGGACCGTTAGTGGGGGTATTTAAAGGATTTGTTGGTGGCTCTGGAAATAGCTCACTCTCGGGTTGGACGCTGGATTGATTACTGACGGGCAAGGCAGGTTCTGAAGCAAAACTACCGGGTGAGTACATCTCCTCCTCTTGATTCCCCGGGGGATTTGTTCCGTGAGGCACTTCCGGATTCTGAACATCTCTGAGATGGCTTAAATCTTGGACCTGCTGATCTAAGGAAACTGAGGCACTATTCCATTCTCGCAACGACGCTGGACGCAAGTTTTCCGGAGCACAACGCAGCAGCTTGTCTCCGTGAGCAACCCACATGGTAGTTGAACCATCACGACAAACAATCCTGGCGGGCCCATGCCAACGTCCAACTTCACGACGACCAAAGGTATTTTTCTTTTTCCAGTACATAACATGTTGACCTATGGTATACGCATCAACTGGTGGACATGACTTTCTGAGGAGTGCTCTTCGGATGGCTGCATCATTATCCGCAAGCAGGAACATTTTTCTGGCTCGAGTGCGAACCTCCAGATTCCGTCGAAACTTTTCGCAGTCCAGATCAGAACCATCGGCCAAACTGTGTGACGCCACTTGTTCATCAGAAGTTAAGGAAGCAGTGACTTTAGGGGATTTACCCAGTACTATCTGTTCTGGCGAAAAACCATCCTGACGGGACAAGGCATTTTTGGCTTGGAAGCAGGCTCGAAGAACCGTATCAAATTCCTGAACATCTTCAATGGTTTTCTCCTGATCATAGCGATGAAGCATGTTTTTGACAATCTGCCCGTGTCTTTCGATTCTGCCCTTTTGCCAAGCCTCGGTTGAGAGGCGTGGTTCAATGCTTTGCCTTTGCAAAAAGGTGAGCCATGCATCCGCACGAAATTCTCCTGCGGGATCGGAATAAATTCCGGAAGGTTGTCCAGCCCAAGACATCCACATATCATTGAACGCAGGGATAACATGTTCCAAGTGTCGGTTGTCCAAACGGCGTCCTAAGTGGAACAAGGAAGCTTCATCAATGCAATGGAAAATCATGACTTGAAAACCCTTTTTTCCAGTCCAGAAGAAACCATCAATCCCTAAGAGTTCATTGAATTCCTTAGGTTCATGGAGTTTGGCGGGTCTTTGATGGCTAAACCTGGTGGTCTCTACGCATGCGTCACATATGTACTCTTTGGCAGCTTCTACAATTTGTTCAGAGGCTCCTGCCATCTTGAGGTGTTGTGAAAGCACATGTGGGTCTGGATGGCCTAAATTCTTATGAAGCTTTATCAGGTCTTGTTTCTCCTGAGGTTGCAATAAACGGAACTTTGGGCCATGCAGAGGCACTGGTGGTGGTGCCCAACCTTCACATGCTTGGCTGCTGGAACGTTCGTGCACAGCTAGTGGAAGATTTTGGCTTCCAGTCGCCCGCACTGCAGATTCTGGCTCGTCGGTCGGGCCATTGTCACCAAGACTAAGGTCACGAACATTCATTGGCACAGATTCGGAATTTGGCAAACTGCCGAACATTGTGATCGTCAGATGGCTGGGTATGCTCTTACGTATCCTTTGAGCCCTAGTACAGCTATGCCAATTCTCCAAACCCAGATCATGGATTTCGGAAGTTTCTCGGTGAATGGACACGGTGTATCTCAAGGGAAACTGGTGTGACGGTGGTGCTAAGAGGGGAACTTGATACCTTTCGGTACCCCTGCATACAAACATGTCTGACAGTTTGAGAGATCCCTGCAAGATTTCCTGAGCTAGTTGCCAAGCTGGCGAATCTGTCGGACATCTGGCATTGCCGACACGGGGAGCAAACGATCTGGCAGCATCCAGGACATTCTTCCATGGTTCGGACCTGGAAGGCACAGGAGCTATGGGTCCAGAGACGTTTGTCTCAGGATTCGGATCCACAGATTCATGGCCAGAAATTGGAATGTCAAGCACTGCAACTTTGTTCGTATCAACTGGGGGAACCTGAGAGATTCTACGTCTTTTGAAACGGCTCTGATCACTGCGGATTCTTTTGGCTGGTCTCTCCAGGTTTTCTTCTTCTCCATCTGCATGATATGCCATGGCATGCTCATCAGATCCTACATGAGTGTGATGGTTATTGCAAAGGTTTCTGGCCATCATGTCGGCAAAACCACGGCAATAAGTGGCGCAAAAGCTTGTGAGTCTTTGCCTATCGCCGTTGATGGAAATGCTCCCTTCAATGTTTTGGTGGTCATGTTGATTTGTGCATCTCTGATCATGAACAGCATGAAACATCTGTTGTGAAGAAGTGAGCAACACACTTCGTTTGCGGAGGTATTTGTTGGTCTTTGGGATGCGCAAACCAAAACGACACATATCAAAGCGGGCTGTGGCTGTCTCCTGACGCAAGGATTCAAAAATCTTCAAGTGAGGGAGACCAGATCCAGCAGGCTGCTCTAAATGAAAATGGCGGCCATTTCGAACTTGAAACCTGCAAATTTTGGCACACAATCGGACATGGGGGAGCTGGGAATCTTGCTTGGCTTGGATGGCATCATACAGTTGAACACTCTTGAACTTGTTCAAATGATTCCAGCCACCCCAGGGGCCACACTCAGGAGCCATCCAAATGTGTTCCGGCTGATACTTCTCTATGACATCCCAGAGCTTTTGACGGCCTGCAAATGTGGCTAGGTCTCCATCCTCCTTGGTGAACCTAAGAGCTTTAAGACCCATTCTCTGAACTGCTTCGGTCAGAGGACTATGTTGATTGGCATAAACTTCAAGTAGAAATATTCTTTGATGTGCGGTCTTGTTGGAAATTTCCGTGAAAAGTAAATCTTCCATATTGAAAATGGTTTGTTCAATTTGGTCATGGATTTGTGGCTTGTTCTGAAATTTGGTTGGCTGTTTCAGCATGTCTCTTGTGGCCTGAACGTCAGCACGGAAGCCTTCAGACTCGCTCAGTAGAGCAGGTTCAGCGTCTCGTCCGTTTAGATCTCGTTGGGATTGTGTGTCAACCAGAGCTGTCCGAAGCGGCAGAAATCTTGATGCTCCGGCATGAGGGACCCGTAGCGGGCCAAGCTCCATTGCAGATATCCGGGATCCTTCTCCATCACTTCTGAGAAGGTCTTCCCCTTGTGTTTTCTGCCAAAGGTAATCAGGTTGGCACCCCACTCTGAGATCGTCAGGTTTCTGGGCAATGGCAAGGTTGGTGCAGGCGGCACCGAGGTCCGGCTTTGGTTCAATTCCACAGGAACGGAAAGGGCCATCTCTTGGACCAAAATGGTCTCCTCCTCGGCTTCGATCTCTTGCCAGCTTGCAGCTTGAGAAACGACGGACGGTGCCCGACTCTTCCGCTGACTGACATTGGGAATCTGTGGCCTGGACAACGGAGTGGAACTTCCGGAGGTCATTGAGGCTACACTCATTGGGGCTACTGCTGGTTGAGGTCTCACCTTCCTTTCTGGTGTTTTCTTTCGCACTTCCACCTCCTCGCGGAGGGCTTCCAGTGCGGCGCCTTGTTGTTGAATCTGGCGCATCATGTCCTGAAGGTGAGCATGGGCCTCCGGCTCGTTCTCGATCTCCATCTCGGCGAGGATCTCCTGCTTCTCGAGTTGTTGCACTAGGATCTGCAACAGCATGGTGAGAAGCCGGATCAGGGCTTCGGCAATGGTCTTGAGTGCACTGACCATTGGCGGCATGATGACAAACAGCGGTCGAATGCTGTGGGAACGTTGTCACCTGGTTCTTTGAGCGAAAGTCTCGGACTCGCAAAAATCTCTTGTCAGAGGTGGTTGAGTCTTGCATCAGTTGAGATACCCCTACAACTGAACCCAGAAACTGTTTACTTTTTGAAAGTTCTAACTTATCCCCATTAGAACAGCTTACCCCGAATTGTGGATGAGAACGGTCGGAAGAACACTGCTTGGCTTCCGCATGTGTGAACGCTGTGGCATCTCCTTGGCAAATGTCCAACATATCGATGAGATACAATCCAGTGGGACTCGTTTGCAGCTGGATGGGCTTGTCTTGAACTTTGGACAAAACACACTGGTCAGTTCGTGTATCCAACGATCCCTGTAACATCTTGAAAGCTTTCTTTGAAAATAAAAACGGTGTCAAACCACGTACAACTTCAACTGACAACCACAATTTCCTACCATGAGCATGCTTCAGAGGTAGTTGCACCGCATACATACTGGTAAGAGATTGATTATTTCCAAATCTGAACTTCACGGAACTAGCCTTTTGACGAATTTGGGATCGGATGCATTCTGGCAACGACTGCTTGAGGCGATGGAGTGTTTTGTCTCCAATGATGCAGCGACTGGCTCCTGTGTCCAAAATGGCATGTGTACAGAAGTCTTCCAAACTGCTATATACAGACTCGGCTGAGCAAGACCCGGCAAACGGTCGGCACTTCGACTGAACTGTGGCATGGTGGGACTCCTCATCGTTCGGACATTTCCTGGGCAGCAATCGTGAGCATGTCGTGGATGCGGATGCATTCGGGACAGTGTTGAACTTCTGTCTAGTCATGTTGAACTCAAACATCCTACGGCTTAACTTTGCAACCCCGGCTGCACGATTTTCATGGTTAAGGACAAAACATGATTCTTCGGCAACAACTGGGTGCGGACTGGCTTCGACAGATGGAAGTTCATACTCATCTTCGGAAATCACTTCATCGGTATCGGTCGAGGCTTGGAAAATCTCTTGAGGCCTCTCATCGATCACAACATGAGCAGTGGCGGAGGACGAAGGCATGGCTGACTTTTCAGTTTGGGAAGCCTGAGGACACTCGGCTTTCCAATGACCCAAGGCGCCGCAACGTCGGCAATGGCTCTTTGAGATACGCTGTAACAGCGCTTCCCGATCCTTTGACCTCTTTCCAAAGCCCTTGCCACGACCCTTGAAAGACTTGCCTTTTCCTTTCACAGGCCAGAAACCACGGCTCTTTCTCTTTTCCACTAACTTGGAACGGGCTTCTATGTACGATGTGAGTGCTTCGTACATTTCGGGTGTCTCTTGCAAGAACTCTTCAAACTCTCCTTCGAAAGTCGAAACTGTCAAAGCATCGGCATCATCCTGAGCAATCAGTGCTTCAATGAAATCTGGTTCCAATTCAACTTCATGTTCGTCTGCATGAGTGAAAAAGGCTCTCTCATGGTGACCAGTCTCGACTGTGGCATGATGTTCATGTTGATCGGCTTCTGAAACGTTGACATCATAAACCTTGTTCTTCTGACTACTGCGACCAGTCTGAAATTCATTGAAAAATCGACTACCCAGCAACCTGAAAGCTTTGACTACCGGCCCGTACTTGAGCTCTCCACCGTGTTCAAGCAGGATGCGCTTCTTGTCATCTGCACTGAGCGTCGATTGACGCAAAAGAACATAGGCCTGGACCTCTTCCAGTGTTGTGTTGCGAGCAATGAGCTCAACAAAATTGGCTTCCATCCTTGACAAAAAACTGTCGTGGGACTCGTCATTGCGTTGAACTGTTCCGTACAATGACTTCTCAAAGAACTCGTACCTCTCTTCAAGTTCCGTGGAGCCCCAAGAACCTCCGATCGCCTCCACGATGGCTGCAATGCCATCAGTCGATTTCACCTTCAACTTCTGAGGTGGGATACGGGCAATCTTTTTGAACGCCGTACCCTCCACCAACAACGCAGCTCTAGGAGCTAATTGATCCAGGAAATCCGTAGGCCACAAGGCCGCAAGGAACTTGAGCTTCTGCGTATACTCCTGGACATTTGTCGTCCCTGGGACGAACTTCGGGATTTGACTCCAAGGCAGCTGAGTGCTGACCTGAGTCGGAGCTTCATCATCCGGCACAGGAGGCAAATCTGACTCCTGAGGCGGTGGCATTCTCAAAACTGTTGTAACTGCACACAAATCCAAAAAGGGCTCGGCCTCCCTGAATCACCACTCTTACAGTTGCCAAAGGAAAACGGACGTCCCTGATGTCCACCAAGGCAGCTGGAGCACTAGGCTCCGCTACCAATGTAAATTGGTAGCGGAGGATACAACCAATCAAGCAATCTGACCCTGTCAGGAAAATCAATGTTGGATGAACCCTGTCAAACCAGATGGATGATGACCCTGTCGATCAAAGTGATAAGAAATGGTGTCCCACACCAGGTGAATGCGCAGCAAATGTTTTGACTCACCGCTCAAGGCTCCATCGCCGATCCTACAGCGAAGTCCACAAACCCTCCCACCACGGCCTGAACCAAAAGGGGCCCCATGGAGGTTATATGAGATCCATCCTGGAGTTAACTGGAGTCACATCAAGGCACATGCATTTGGCGATTCACATATATTTATATAATATATATATATTATGGATATCATGAATAAATTGGGAAAACCACCAACCAGCTGGTATAACATTAGGAAATACGCTGGCATCACAATCCAGCTGGAAATAGCATGATTTTTTCCACCTGGATTCGCTGAGTTGATGATTTTATGTATTTTCCCAGTGGGACATCCACTACGGCTGGGGAATATTTTTTTCTTGGTGTGGTTCCTGAAAGAAATCCTAGATGACAGTTGAATCATTTTTTTGGGGTTAGAGCCTAGTAAATGTATGTAAAGATCATGTTCCGGTGAGTTTTGGACAGCACTTTAAGATGTGAAAATAGAGATCTGGATCAACAGTTTCTACTGAATCGTCCCGGATCAATCCATTGACAAATCAAATGTCTGATTTTGATACCTCAAATTTGATTTTTTTATGATAAGACCCTCTATTTTATGAAGTCAGCTCCCAGTTTTGCCTTACATGTTTTTTTTTCATCCCTCTTCCTTCACTTTCCTCAGGAATCCTTGCTGCGTTCAATGCCTGAGTTGGGAGAAGCTTCGGGAGTTCCCTGAATGCAGATGGCGATGCCGGCGAGGTTTTTTCAGACAGTTGACATGAACAGTTGGTTTGAAAATTTAAATGATTGGATGGTTATTATATAATTATATATCCATATTATCGGCATTGTCTAGGAATATTAAAAGAACTATGGATTGGTTATGATAGAATTTTAGTACTTTGTAATGGTCAGATGATAGTCTTAGATTAATGGTATTTTTTCTACATAATTACATATAATTACTTTATCTAAGTTAAAATCTGGTTGGTCAACCTTGCATAGATACTAAAGAATCTTTTGATCTTTTGCCATCAATCGTAAAATGTACTAACCAGCTTAAAAGTAGATGAATGGGCGTCCCTTTAATGAATGTTCGCTAATGGCTTAATAACAGCAATAATGGATAGTAATGGTATACTTTATGGAATACGTAATAGGATAACCCTCCAGATATCAAACGTGTCATTCAGCGCGATGATTGTCCCACTAAAACCCCATTTACATTGGATTTCCCAGCTATGTTTGATTACCAGAGGGTACATGGAAACTAACAATTCCGGGATCCGGCGGCTTCCGCGTCCAACCACCTCGTAGATCGTAGGTCGGTGTTCGTGCTCTGGCGGAGATCCTAAAAATGATCGCGGATACCTGAGAAGGCTCTTCATCACTTGCGCCGCAAATATGAAAGAAAAAATGGAAGCCAAAGAATACATAAAAATACATTTAAAACGTGCACAAAAATACGTTAAAAAAATATATAAAACTCCCTGAATTCATGGAAAGAAGTAAAAAGCATAGACACAATTTAAATCCATGGGCGCCGATCTGGATTCTCACCAGATCGGGGATGACGAAGCGGATTTTTTCCAGTGGGAAAGTTGGGGCTTGGTTTCTCAGGGTTGGTCTGAAAATCAATCCACTGAAAAGGATTGGATGGCCAAAGAACGGATGGAAATGAATGGGAACTCCCAGTTTTTTAATGGATTCTATGATCTTCAAAACCCCAAATCATCGATAGTCAACCCGCAAAATCCATATCCCAAAGTTGAAATTCCCTGACTGATGAATCCCAGATATACAATATCCACCAATTATGAAACCAAACGCCAGAGCTTTGATTCAATCCCTAATCCCACTTGTGAATTTGGTGATACAGAAAAATTATAGAAAAAACAATGCACCAATTACAAATAAGGGTGAAATTCTTTGTGTAATTATCAATTGGTGATACACCAATTATAGAATCCAAAAAAATCTGAATTCTACAAAGAATCCCAATTACATAATCCCAATTACTAAAATTATACAATCCCAATTATCTGAAAATCTTAATTCTTTCAGTATCCAAAAAAAACAAATGTTCACACTTTTCACAGCAGTCGCCCTTCGCCATCGACGTCTTGCTGCAGAAATCTCAGGTTCCTCTGGACCTATTCCTTAGTGGAGTTCACCACAAAGAGGACCGAAGATTCCACCAAGAATTGGAGGGTTTTTGTCAAAAGGGGGATCTAAGCTGGTTAAAGTAAGCAGGTATCTGATTGGTGGTGTGGTTTACTGGTGGTTAATAGTGGTTAATAGTGGTTAATATGGTTGGTGGTTTGGAACATTTGGATGATTTTTCCATTCAGTTGGGAATGTCATCATCCCAACTGATTTTCATATTTTTCAGAGGGGTAGGTATAACACCAACCAGATATGGGAATTTAGTGGGACAACAAACAAGAAAGACATGAGATTTAGGGAAACAATGAGATGTCGTGAGAAATGAGATCGGGAAAAAGCAACATGGATTCCATTATCAGAAAAATGGAGGTGTGACCTTGAAAAATTGTGCATGGAGGCCAGGATTACAAAATCTGCAGGAAACCTTTGTTTTATCATACAAGTGACAGGGATTTGCTGCACGTATTCATGGATTTTCCCATAGGATTCGCAGTTTTGGGAAAAAAAGTTCCTTATTTTTTCAGGCCAACGCAATGATAATTAGACACCTTCACTTGTGATACGCAAAGCCGCTCTGCCACCATCGAATCATGGTGAATGCGCCACCCCCACCCCCTTCGGGGGGTGCGGGGGCGAAGGTTCGCGTTCGCCAGGTTGCCCAACATTCAGCAACGAATGTGCACCATCCATTAATCAAACATGGTTTGCTGGAAAATCCTCTGTCTATAGATGATAGCTATAAACCTCCAAATGTGGAGAAATTGCCGTTGCTATGTCTGATTACCGGAAGGTATAACCAAATTGGCCTTAGCCTATTTTCACCAAAAGGGCAACAATATTCAAACTAAAAACAAAATCACCACGACATCGGAAATTATAACTAGCCGGTGAGTCCTCATTCCGGCCCAACCATGGCGAATTTCTGCTTTATCAAGCTATGTGAAGCTTATTTGCCTAGAAATTTGGTTGTTTTTTTCATCATATGGATATGGTTTAGTCATGCTTGGTGATTTTGAAATTTGATTTGATGGTGCTGGACCAACGGACAGATAATTCTACATACAGTAATCAGTATATGTTTGGTATACGTTAATTCTTGGTGTCTATTCTTATCTCACATCCTGTTCAAGCTGGTCCGGTTACATGTATATATCAAAATCTAATTCAGTTGTCCAAACTTGTGGTGCCTCGTCATACGCATATGCTCCGTGGTGCTGGTATCTTTACCTACAAAACTGGGTGATTTTGTTCGGGCAAATGTTGGTCAATATTCCAGCACCATGGATCATCTGGGTTATAAATCCTATAGTTCAACAGCAATGATGATCAAACATCCCAGTTCCATGCTTGAAGCCCAATTTATACACGTGTTCACCCATATTATCTTTATAGCTACATCTGCATTTTTGGCTGCTTAAATCCTAGTTATCCGGATATCCCCATAATTTGTCCAGGGTTAAACCATCAATATCCATCAACTGTCATTATGAAACCCTCATTACACCATGGTTAAACCACCGTTATAATTATGTTAAACACAGATATAAGATGTCCAACACCCCATATATGTATACATGTATAATATACATATATATATATATACATATATATATATGTATAGATATACATATATGTATAGATATACATATATGTATATACATCATATATTTATGTATATATATATATGTATGTGTATATATATATATATAGACAGATAGATGTTTGTTCAAAGTTAAACTACCCATTTTCAAATTTCAACCTGCAAGGCCACCCCGGAAGCCGCCCGGGTTGCAGGCTTCGATGAGGCCGGAGGTTGTCATCGTGGAAATCCATGGACAAAATCATATGGATCTGGGTAAATTATAAGGACCGCACCCTGTTCGACCTAAGCCTGGAATCATAGTCAAGAAGGGGAATTAACCCAAAATAACCTTATTTCAGGTTAGTGAATATTATAATTTACCCAGATATGGATAATAATAACAATAATTAAATGGAATAATAATAATACTGTAATATATGAATAAAAATTAAATTATATCGATAATCATGGAAGAATAATTGATGTATTTCAATCCATAATTATCTGGATATTAATGGGATATCAAGGGGAAAAATGTGATATGAATGAGATAATAAATCCAT